CGCCCTGCAGGGACAAGCCCCTGCTGCAGTCCCGGACCCTGCCTGGAACGCCAGCCCCGGCTGTCCGGAGGAGCCGAGAGGGAAAGGGGGCTGCCCCCCGGAGAAGCGGAAAGGTGTGGGGGGGGGCCGTCTGTGCCCGCTCTGCGGGGATCGTGCCTGCTCCCCGGGGACCCTGCCTGACCAGCCTGAACCAAACCGAACCAGAGTAGGAGCCTGCCCAGCCTGCGTTTGCCAGTTGCTTTGGGACCAGAGCTGTGCCTGCTGCTGCTGGGAGTGGTCGCTCCAGTTACCGGGAAGCCCCCCACGGATCTCCAGCCGAGCCTGCCAGCGCATCCCGGGAACAGCGTGCTACGGAACGAGGGTAACCGCACACACACACACACACTCTAACTTTCTTACCAGCCTCAACTCCTACCCTTTCACTCCATTGATTTCACACCTCTCCTTTGGAGTGTGCCTTTTATAGACCAGTGCCTTTGAACCACTTTACCAATATATACCTAGCCAACCTCTCCTGAACCTTGATCCCTTAGTTTGTGTTGACCCTTAATAAACCAATTAATTTGCAAACTAAACATTGGTCTCAGTAACAATTTGTGAGCGTGGTGAGAGGGTACTCTGATCTACCCTTTAAGATATGGTCCCACAGTGGCCGTTCCTCTGAGAGAGGCGAACGCCACGTGTGACCCTCGGGCTCATTCACAAACCTCTCCACACTGGGCAGGGGGGGGCAGTTGTGGAAATATCCTGACAGCCGGTAGCCCCCTGGTACCAGCCTGCGACACAATGAAAGAGAGTGTGATATACCTGTCCTCCACAAACCATGCAGTTATCTTACAGGTAGAAAAGAAGAAATGGAGAGAGGTCCAAAGATTTAAGTGAGATATGTGGCAGCTTCTCTGAAATAGCAGATTCCAAATACTGACTGCCAAATTTCTGTTCTTATACATATGAAGCCATGAGGAATCCCTAGGAGAATACTGAGAAGAGGGTTTTAAGGGCATCAGCTAAAGATTAAAGCAAACTACTAACCTGGATTGATGATTTCATCATCATCACTGAACGTCACTCTGGAGTTCTTCCGTTTTCTCTTTGACCTTTGGATATCCAAATTCCCTTCCTCAATGGTTAGTGTGGAAATTCTTTTGTTGTGGGCTGTATTAAACTCTGTCAGGTTCTAAAATTTAGAGATTAAATAGTTTAAGCAACTGGTGTATGAATTCTGATTTAATCACGTGATTGTGCATATCAAAAGACCACAGCACACTGTTTAGCTTAAACTTTGGACCCCTAGGAAGAAAGAGTGCTCCAGTGCTGGAACAGATTGTTCAGAGAGGTTGAGGACTCTGTCTGCAGAGATATTCAGAACCTGACTGAGCACCAGGCAACTGCTCTAGCTGACCCTGCATGAGCAGTGAGGCTGGACTAGATGATTCCGTGAGGTCCCTTTCAACCTCAACAATCCTGTGAATGCCATACACTTCTCCTTTCTCCCTCTTCATGAGCTAACTGTAGGAAACAAGGCAGCATTCACTGTTACCCAGCAAATGGGGAACAGTGCAGGAAATCACCCTTCACCTGAGATAACACTAGCTGGAGAGTGCACACTCCCTAGCAATTTTTTGTGAGAAGGCTATTGGAATGGTAGTATTATTAAGGTGACTGATTCTGGGAAGCAGTATGATCACATGGTTATCATGGCAGAATAAGTTGGTCTGTGTGTATCAGTCAGCTGCTGACAGCTCAGACTGCCTTCAAGGCCAAGAAATTAAGAACCCGAACCTAAGCAAACAAGTGCTGAATGTTATTGATTTAGCTGGAAATGCCATCTAGGTACAATGTACTCACATCAAGTTCTGTTTCCTCCTCGGGTAGGCCTAGCAAGCCCTTGAGTTCCTCATCTTCACCACTCATTTTCTCATCCCCTTTCACTGCTGATGGCAGGGTCTGGGGCTTCTCCCGCAGAGTGTAAGCCCGTGTAGAAGCGCCAAATGAAACCGTGGAATCGATGGGTATCTGCTGGGGTTTGTGAGGTTCCAAACGGATATGACCCAAGAATGTGCCATGTGCTGAGAACATCAAAATGCAAATTAGTCTGTTAGTCATCAACTTAGGCTCACAGTATTTGAGTTCAAGTCTTGAGAAGTTCAAAAACTGTACATGGTTGCTTTGAGATACAAGCCACTGAGGTACTGCTAAAACATTAGCTTATGTACATTTTACCTACCATCTCACAAACTAAGGCAACACGCATCAGAAATCCTCAGAAAGTCAAGGATATAAATGACAAACACAATCTACTTTCTGGATTCTTGCAGGTCACAATGTACCATGTTTGGAATCATTCCCTCAGTGGAAAAAACAGTATGTCAGGTTTTAGAACTTGGGAAATCACCCTCAGAAGAGAAAGCTCCATTAAAATTGTGAAGGGAAGGCCAAGTCCTTCTCTCCTTCAGCCTCCTAAGAGTCTAGAAATGTTGTTTTAACACCAAGCAAAGTAGACCTAAGCTGACTGGAGCAATCTCTCCTTTGCTCCTAACTCTTGCCAATTTTTCACTGGGATGCTAATTCAGATTGTAGTTATCTATCCACACAGTGCAAACAACAACAAAGAAAAAAGGAAAAGCGTCTCAAACTCAGAAATGTTGAGGAACCAAAATATCATACTTCTGTCTGGTTAAATGTCACACTACTTACTGCTGTTTAGATCTATGAGGAAAACCCTCTTGAGGTGTTTGTGATAGACCAAGGCAGCATGGACCCGAGAGCAAGACTGGTGGTCGATGGTAAAATCACACAGATCAGGATTTCTCCCAAAGAGATAGTATTTCTTCTCATCAATGATGAGTTTCTGAGGTAGAGAATCAAAGAAGCAAATTAGACTTCTATAATGCTTTGGACCTTCCTGAAAACATTCAGCAACAGGAATAAACAGAACAAATTAAAAACAAAGCATCAACAGCTAATCAATATTTCAGTTTTGTCTGACACTTAATTACGGAAACACAAATCTGCTCTTTGTAAAATCAGAACAGCTGAACACAGGAGAGTCCCAGTTATCCCCTTCTTTAATAGCCAACACAAGACAGCCTGGGAAGGACAGTAACTCTTCAAAGCATGAGACTCTGCCATACAAGAGGGTCTCTCACATTTGCTCCCAATGATTTCTACACATTTCTTGATGCAGATGACCCTGGGCCCTGCCTAAACCATGACACTAAGCTAAATGATCTCCAGTCTGACACAGAACATCAGATTTGTATTTCTATATAGTAACAGACATACAGGGGGATTCCAGACCTTTATAATAAAGATGTAAAACTGTACTGAGTATATCCTGTAATGTGAATCCATATAGTCTATTCCAGTAAATCAGTAATTTTAGACATTTCTTCTTAATTCATCCTAGTTCTAACCTCTTCTTCATACTGTAATATCAGTTCCACAAATCATCTCTGAAAAGCAAAGCAATGTTGACACAGTCGTATGGCATACAAAGCTTATCTTTGTTAACAGAAAATGTTGCTAAAAGGAACTCCTTGTGCCAAAATGCTGAAGTACCTAAGCAGTGCAGCCTTCTTCTCACTATGTGCCAGGATCTTAATTTAACTTAATTTTCTTGCTTCCAGCTGCACAAGTCAAAGGCTGGCAAAGCACAACAGTTTTGTTAACAGATGGCTTCTGCTTTTTGAGACATTACCAAAGCCCACATCATGCTTCAGTAGCATGATCAAGGGAATGCTGATGATACATCTTCCATCAGAAAAAATTATCTTAGTTCAGAAAACATTGCTTTCAGGAGATGGACTGAGCTGAATGAACATTTTGCCTGCTGAAGGACAAGAGTTGCTTCCCTATCTTTCCTCATCCTGCCACTCATCTGAGCCAAGTTTTCAGCTTGCAAAGCACTTTTTTTCCTGCATTAGTCTTCTACTGTTTGGGTGGACTGAATCAGCTTGCCTTCAGTAAGAGATGTCTCCCAGCTGCCCCAGTGCAGCAATGGGTTATAGGCACCAGGCCCGTGTGATGAGGAAGGGCCTCTCTCCCTGGCAGCAGCACTCAGGTCAGTTTTGGCTCCTTAGTTTTGCCAGCTGTAGAAACCATGTGCTCAGCCAGAGCCAACCTATCAGACTGGCTACAGGTAGCCGGCTTGGGTTTTTGCTGAGTTACCAGAGAGACTGACACAATGAGTACGCAGTTACTTACTTTGTGGCACTACCAAGTCATCTAGAAAATAAGGACCCAGCTTGGAATAAAACGTAGTATTTATATTCCTCTGCCTTATCTGCAAGCATAAAAATCACACAGACCTCATTTTCTACTACAAATTGCTGTGCAAAATTACATCTCTTTACCTGCCCACCAATTATGACCTCCCAGGCTTTTAGCACTGCTACATTCAGATGCCACTTCCTCACTAATTGTTTGCAGATTTTTCACCCCAGATGTGTTCCATATTTTCTAGTTTGGTTTCTCATTGTTCCGCTGAACGTTTGTCAGTCCCCATGCTGCAAGTTCTCATAATCTGGTATTCACTAATAAGCACTTCATTTATTTCTGCATGTTTATTCTCTTTTAGGTCACTAGGAGAATTAGTTGAACAGCCCAACTCCATATTAGTATATATCATGACAACTTATTGGTTCCTTAGATAATAATCTGCTAATGTTTTATTCCCAACTAACTCAAGGTACATATTTTAAGCACAATTTCATGAATGTAAATGTTTTGTGAAATCTACTGACTTATGATATTTTGGCCTGCTTTCTTAAAATGATAAGATTGAGATGATCAAGCTGTGTGCCTATCAGCTGCTTACACCCACAGCTAAACCAAGTAACTTCCCAACCAACTAGCCAGTTTCAGCTAGCACTACAACACAGCAAATTTCAATAACTTCTCTGAAAACAAACAGCTAGACAGAATGACAAGTTCATCAGTACCCTCAGCGTGACATATGCTGGCAGAAAATCCACAAGAGGGCAAATATTTAGACTGTAACTACAAAAAAAATCTTCTTTGTGAGTCTATGTTTCATTTGATAAGACAGGAATGACAGCTTAATTAGCAATTCACTTTTGAGTACATTATCTGGTGATGAATATGATGCAAACTGCAAGTGATTTTCCTCCAGCTGGGACCTCCTCTGAATCTGTGTCCAGTGGAGACAGCATATCTCAAAGCCTCAGTATAATTCAGATTAAAAAAATGAGAAATCAATATACTGAAACAGTCTACTGCATTCTGCTCTTATTTGGCTACTTTATTACAATTTTCTGCCTCTTCACAAATGTCGGTTTTCACAAGACCCTCCTCTCAGAATTAACCAGAAAGTATAAGCCACTGATAAAGAGCTTAAACTGAACACACTCCTCAGTTTGTTCTTGTTGAATATTTTTGCGTTTTTTTTAAATTCCATCTGTAAATAGATCAATCTCTTCCCTGTACATTCCTCACGCTAGTATACTTTTGTTACACTCTTCCCTGCAAGCCTTAATCCAACAGCAATCATTCCATTAGTCCCACAGATATTTTCCCTTATGATTACATTGTTTCATCCAGCTGTTGATCTGTGAATACCATTATGTTTGCTGTAATACATCTTTTGAGAAATGCTGGTCAGGTTTTCTGGGGGTTCAACTTCAAAGCAATAGATTTATATCCACTATTATGTAGAACCTTACTCACGCAGTTCAGCTCTCTGAATCTTCCCCAATTCAGTATCTTTATTCCAGTGTATTCTGTGATTCCACCTTCTAAGAAAGACGAGCGCTAACTTTTCCTTTTATTGTGTAGTTGGAAAAAAAAATCCTATGATAACACAACTCTGATCCAGACAAGTGGATCTTCAGATGCTGATTCATTACTCCACATCAGTGCTCAGCTCTATGAGCTGTTTGCACCATTTCAAATACCATGAAAATTGGTTGAAAAATTATCCTACTTTTCCACAACCAAAACCAAAAATGAACCCTAAGTTTTCATTTGCACCTATTATGCACAAACCACTAGCATTCTGACTTGACAACATTTCAAGACATTTTGTAAAGACACAAATTAATAAATTGAAAATACTGCAACAAATCATAAACAGAGACAATAATTTTATGGCCTTTACTGCAAGATGTTACCAAATTTTTCTGTGCCTCTGAGTTATAACCCAGTGTCATTCTTTATACGCTGAGCTTAAACACTTCAGGGCTTCTTTTGATGTTGCACTTTTCAGACCCAGCAATCACAAGGTGCACCTCAGACCTCTGCACAAGACCTGGGACACAGATGGCTCGGTTAGTATCAAGTGCTCAGTAACCTTGATGATCCTTCTTGGTTATTGTTGTCCACCATAAAAGACAAAATTGGAAAATTATTGCCACACGTAGGAAACAGGGCATCAGATGGATCACATTCAAATGCTGCTAATTTGTTGCACAGTTCCCATACAAACACAGTCATTCCCAAAACACAGTACACAAGGCCCTGCCGTAGCCCCAACAGCAGGCATGCATGCTCCATGAGACAGTCTGTCAGAACTGCCACACTATGCCAGCTTTTCCAAATCTTACTTCAGCAGATGGAAGCACAACAGCCAGCCAGGCCTCAGGGCCACACAGGCAGGTGCCCGTGCCTGGTCACCACTTGCCACCACATCAGTACATGTATTACACACTGAACGGCAGGCAAGCTGTACCTCACTGAACTTAGGGTCACTGACAGCTAACATCAGATATTCAGGAGGTAAACTAAACTCTACAGCCTTTCTGTAACCTCTGTGTGATCACATCACATTCCTGAGAAGGCCTTAGGGCGTTGGCTGATGAGCTCAACATGGGTCAGCAATGTGCGCTGGAGCCCAGAAACCAACCGTGTCCCGGGCCTGCACCCCCAGCAGGGTGGGCAGCAGGCTGAGGGGGTGGATTCTCCCAACACTCTCCTGCAGTGCTGGGTCCACTTCTGGGGTCCCCAAGATAAGGGCATGGAGCTGTTGAAGCGAGTCCAGAAGAGGCCACAGAGTTGATCCAAGGGCTGGAGCAGCTCTGCTCTGGAGCCAGGCTGGGAGAGTTGGGGTGTTCAGCCTGGAGAAGAGAAGGCTCCAGGGAGACCTTAGAGCAGCTTCCAGTGCCTGAAGGGGCTCCAGGAAAGCTGGGGAGGGGCTTGGGACAAGGGCAGGGAGGGAGAGGGCAAGGGGGATGCATTAAAACAGGAACAGGGGAGATGGAGGTTGGACATGAGGAAATTCTTCACTGTGAGGGTGGTGAGAGCCTGGCCCAGGTTGCCCAGAGAAGCTGTGGCTGCCCCATCCCTGGCAGTGTTGAAGGGCAGGTTGGATGGGGCTTGGAGCAGCCTGGGCTGGTGGGAGGTGTCCCTGCCCATGGCAGGGGGTGTGGAACTGTGTGATGTCTAAGGTTCCTTCCAATCCAAATGATTTGAGGATTCTAATGAATCTTTGAGTACTTGGATAGTGAACTAGCAACGGCTGCTGACAGTGCTCTGCATGGTAGCAAAGAGAACCTTTTTTAAGTTATCAAGATGATGATAGGGAGAGGGAATCAGGATATTTGTACCACTCACTTCCCCAACATAGACAGAGACCCCAGGATTATAAAACCAACTTGGGCCTCCTGAAGGTCCAAAAGCTTTGGGCAGCACTGCCTCAGAGTCTGACACCACTAAGTCCATATTCTTGCCTGTCAATCTATCAACAGCAAGTTTGCTCATACATTGCCAAAACCAGTGGTGCATCTTCAGCCTCCATATGGCATTTTGCAGCTTTTTCTTCAGTCCTGGCTAGAACTCCCATGACAGAACATTTGCCCAGCACCTGAGGAATAGTTCAGCAGAGAGCTCCATGTAATCTCTTTCATCCTAAACCTCCTTTTCCACACTCAAAAATCCAAAAGAGACATGTCAAGAAAACTCTAATCTCATAGAATAAGTCTCCCAGGTGGGAAGGCTGCATTATGTTTGGCCACCTGCCACACACCAAAAAAACCAGTCACTGTCATTTGGCTTTGCTCACTGCATCTTATTGGACTGAAATACTGGAACACCCAGTGCCAAGTATAATCCTTACCCCAGATGCTGCTGCAAGGATAGCAGTGAGAAGGCTGAGCTGAGAAGCAGTCCTACTACATCCCTCTGATCTTTCAAAGATGATTCTGAACATGTAACTACCACAAGAGGCAGAACACATGGCCCATGGTTTGAAGACAAATGGAATGCAAAGGCTTTGAAAAGCCAAAGTACCTACAAAGAGCCAGTGAAGGACAGATCCAACACAGCCCGAGTACCTGGTATGAACCAAGCCATCCATGTCTCTCCTATGAACTAATAAGCTACTTTGAAGATGTAGTAAGTGTGTGCTAGTATCTAATTCCTTTCAAATTAAGCAAAATTAAGCAAAAATCTCTGTTAGGTCACAATTGGCTTTGTCAATTTTCTGTACAGAGTGCCCTTAGTCTGCTAGGCACCAGAAGGACCACTTAATACTGTCTGATGCTCCTGTGGCAGCCTACACTACAAATCTGCCAAGATTTTAAGCTAAGTCTTTCATGATTTGACTTCTTAATTTTTCAAGTTTCTGTTAAGAAAAGTTGGCTCAACTTTGCAAATTTTTGCTGTCTAGAAACATTACTTTGTTTCAGTGAACTGCAAGTTTGGAGTCTCTCGGTGGCTATGCTTAATTTGCTGGCTTGGGTCCTCTCTGTCAACCATGTTAAAGAGCCTTTTAAAAATTATTATGTATTTACTACTTTTTATTTGAAAATCTCAATTTGAAAAATCTGAATGTTGATCAGTACAACAATAAAATGACCTCTAATTATCAACAGTGAAAAAGTATAAGACAAAATACGAAACAGAAAATGAGGTGTTTATCAGACAAATTCCTTTGCTGCAATAAAAAGAACTCTTTGTATCTGTTAATCACAACCCTGTGCACAGATCCAGAATGTGGCATGAAAAAAATCATATTGTACTTCATAGTGCAGGACAGGGCAACAATCCTGTAAGATACATGATCACCCTCCTGTAAATAAACAAATGCAAAACTGAACAAACAAGTATCTTGCTCAAGCAGTAGAAGGGTAAGAGTTTTTACTCTTTTATAGTAGAGATTCTTTTCCTCATGTTATTCAAGCTTTGGCTCTTCAAGTTGCTAAGACAAGGTGTTTTCTGGCTACAGTGTGACATGTCCCATGTAAGTATATTGTAGAAAACAAAATATCAACTTTGGTTCAAAATTAAACATGGAAGAAATAAGGCTCTGCAAAGTACTGAGTTTCCCTTACAAACATTTTTTTCCCCTCTCTCTTACTAAGACAGGTTTAATGTTCAGGAACCAAAGTGTCACTGTTTGCTGGCTGAGCACTGCAGTGTTGTGTCCTTCAAACAGGACACCTAGTCAAAAGAGAAGTTGTGAAAGCACTGCACAGTATGAGACAGCTTTAGAGCACAGGCAAGAGAAAATTAACTTCATTCTGAAGTTTCAGGGTAAAACAAACTGATCTGAAAAAAATTAATATGAGAGAGAAGGGAAATACATACAAGTTAAGCGTTGACAGTGCTGGGAAATGTTCTACTGCTGATGCCTATGTATATGATATATGCTTACAAAACCTATTTTCATACCTCTATGAGTTTGTCTCCTTTGACTACATCCAAGTGTAAGCCAGGTGGTGGTTTTCCTGCCCTGCAAAATAAATAAAGGAAAATATAGTATCAAAATATCTAAGAAAAAAGTTTTTTAGTGTTAGAACCAATACTTTGTTAGAGTTACAGACCAAACCTACACAAATGTAAGCAGAATTACTTGGGGAAAAATATGAAAATCCCATAGCTTTCTTTTCCTCCCTGCATATTCCTTCTGAAAACACAAAACGTTTTTTTTTGTATAGTAAGAGTTCAGCTGTCAGGACATAAGGCATTTCAAGCTTTACTTCTCCAGGTGAAAACCAGCTAATTTACAAAATGAACAGAGCAGCTCCTAGGAAAAACATTGTCTGAGGCCAGGTAGAGGTTAATAACTAGAGAAGGGAATGGCCTGGGATCGTTTGCTTAAGGGCCTGCTCAAGGGCTCTGTTTTCTCCTGTTACCATCACAAATAGATCTCTGCTGAGAGGAAAGGAATCTTCTGCCACCCTTCCCCTCTAGGACTGGTAATGGCAAAAAACCTGAAAGGGGATCCACACGCTTCTGTAGTATTATAAAAATATTGCCCAATAGCCAGTGCTCCTCCACCATCACCCTGTAATCAAACTTTATACCAACACAGGTAACATGGAAGAGACTAGGGTACTAGATGGCAAAGGGACCCCTACACTATGACAGCACAATCCACCACCAAATTCTCAACCAAAGAGCAGCTCATCTACCCCTGCCCTACAGCTCCATCCCTGCTCTCCTCCTGGACAGAGGGTTCACCCATCAGCATTATTCCCACTTGGGCAAAGGGAGCACAGATGCCCGTGGGACTCAGCAACACACAGTAAAACATCTTCAAAATGCAGAACCACAAGAATCAGCCATATCAAACACATCTTTGGTTTTTACAGTGCTCAAAACCAGGACACTAACTAATGTGATATGAATGTGCTGCCCATCATTACATAGGAACTCTGGCTGCTGGCAGCAAACAATCTTATTTCTGCTCAGACCTCTAAAAATCTACACCTCTAGTACTTTTTCACTGCTGCTTGTCTCTGTGGCTGCATGGACCTTCTAGGTGACAGCAGTGATCTAGTTCTTAGCTATACTGCTGCCCTTTTGAAGAACAAGCACAGAAAGGATCACATTTCCATTTACTGCTTTGCTCACTGCACAGAGTAAGCCAAGAGAACAGTGACAATGGCAGTGACATTCTCAGCATGGCTGGAGAAGAAAGAAAGGTCACTTGCAATTGAACTTGATTGAAGGGGTTAAATATAGATGTTCATGTTTCTGGGATGTACCTTAGTGTTTGAAGGTTTCTTCTGTGTCTCCAGGTCAACTAATTACTATACACATGCTATCCTAGATAACTTCATACAAGAACAATCCTCTATTATTTCTACTTCATTTATTTCTCAAGTATTCCTCAAGTATTTCCCACTCTTCCTCCGAATCTATTATTCCCAGCCTGCCTAGATCTCTCTCTGGACCTTCCTCAATATGCCAACTGGGGCTTTCACAAGTTTTCTTACCAAGCCCTTCTCTAAAACTGTGGATAGTTCCATCCTAACAAGTAAGATGGACAGGGACATTTATTCTTCTTCTTTCAGATGAGCAAACAGCAGCTGGCCTTACTTTGATCTAATAAAATCTCCTTACTCCATTTTTTTAAATTTTTTTTTTCTTTTTCTTTGTCTTTTTTCTTCCAAATTGGTAAACCTTTCAACAAATGAACTCTACTAGCAAGTCTACTTACTGAGTCTGGCCTCCTTTTCTTCTCAGTAACCTCTTCCTGGACACTCACTAGTTTGCCTGTCCTAAAAACATTTCAGCAAGATCCTTCGTGTTCCTTTTAGGTCATGGGAAAGCTCCCAAGTGTTCTAGCATAAATACTTTACTTCTGTGAACTTATCTGATGGTCATCTTTTGCCACATACAATCTCTGATTTTTCACTATCCTCTCCTCCACTTTTAGTTTCACCCTTGCTGTTATTTTTACTCTCTTTTTACCTTCAACTTGATTTTGAGCACAGAAAAAAAGCCCAGCAGCAGCACAAGACATTGCCTTCAGCTAGGAATTAAGTTACTTGAAAAATGTATTTGCTCTCTGGTTTCTTCTGGAGTGAGAATCCTTTGCAGATAGTATTTCCCCTACCTACCTATGCCTGCTGCACAGTGAACACAGTAAGGCTGTTAATACTGATTACGCTACCATCAAAACAAGCTATGAATAGAAACAGAAATAATGTCTGGTAAAAAAAACCCTTTGGAACAGATAGAATCAATGTCACAGCTTAGGCTGCTGAAGTTAGAGTCTTGAAAAGCCTTTGAAAAAGGCAGAAAAATTTTCCAGTTTTATATTCAAAACATTTGTTTATATTTTATTAGTTTATACTTCAAAACATTAGTTTTGAATTATAGGTCCAGAGTCACCAAAGATCAGAAGCAATGGCTGTATTTGCAAGTATCAACAACCCCTCACATATTAAAAAGAGAAAACTCCTCTCCCAGTAATTAATATGCTAAAATATCCACTAACCTAATTTTCCTTCATTGCTCTGAGGGATGGAGAATTACTTGAGGTCATTAGACCCTCCCCTCCACAGAACACACAGGGACAGCCAGGCTTAGACCTGCTCCAAGACAAATGGTCTCACATCAGAACCTGGCACCAGCACAAGTCCTTGGGTTTGAGAAACAGGAAGCTCTTCTGTTCCTTCCAGATGGTGTATCACAGTCACCACTGCCTGAATGTCTTCTGCTCTCTACAGTTCAGCATTCTGCTGCTGACCTTAAAATAACACCTGCAGATGGATTAATTGTTAATGATCACTAGTTCAGTAAGTTTAACTGACACAAAGCATGCTTGGACTACCTCCTGAATCACCAAAGGCTTACTGGGGAGAAGAGAAGCCTTCCAGAGTACTAACAAGGCTGACTGGCAAGGAGAACATTACAGTATCATTACAGTATCATTAAATGAATTCTCTGCATCAGAGAAGAGACCAGAGGACAACCCATACTAGACCTCTTCTTCACTCAGAATGAGTCCAGGGAACTCAAAGCAGTGACAATAATTTCATGAGAATTGATAAAAAGAAGTATCAAACTGCAAAACCCAGTTGGTATTCAGCCAAGCATTCTACAAGATACCAAACACCAGTTTTCTAAACATATCAGTAGTACAGCAACCCCTTGCTTAAATTACCGTCAGTGCCAGAGAAATGGAGGTATCACCTGATGGTGCTAATCTTAGAGCATATTTCAGGAGTGACGTGGAAATTACATACAGTAAAGTCACATTCTGACTGGGAAACTGTCATAATAGAATAAACTATTCCAGTTGGAAGGGACCTACAATGATCATCCAGTCCAACTGCCTGATCACTTCAGAATGGGCCAAGTTAAAGCATCTTATTAAGGGCACTTTCTAAATGCCTCTTAAACAGTGATGGGCTTGGGTCATCAACAACCTGTCCAGGAAGCCTGTTCCAGTGTTTAACCACCTTTCTGGTAAAGAAATGCTTGCAAATGTTAGGCTGGAACCTCTCCTGATGCAGCTTTGAACCATTCCCAAATGCTCTAACACAGGATTCCAGGGAGAAGAGCTCAGCACCCCCCCTCCACCTCCCCTCCTCAGGAAGCTGTAAAAGACACGTAGAATATCCCTGAGCAGAACTAGCAGAGAGGAACCGATAATTTCATTTTGTAAACTCTAATTCTTCCCCTCAAAAGAACAGCAAACAGTTGTCTTCTACAGACTTGCTGTTCACTGTTCAAGACACCCAATGCATCTCTCAGCTGTTCGTTTTCCAGACCCAGGGTAACCACCTGTAGTTCAGCTTCCTGTGTCTTTGATTTAGATAATACTTAAAATAATACTTGAGAGAAAGAATTCACATGGTCTTCGAGGAGACAAATAGTATCACACCATCTACAAGAACAACTGGAGACAACCAACAGGATGTAAACAAGATCAGTAGAGCAGACTATCATTTTTAAAGAAGCTTTTGAAAAAATTATCAAATGATCTTATGCAAATTAAGGTGTGTCAGGGAAAAGAAATAGTAGGGTTCTGCAAGGGCCCTGTGATCTTCATATGCAGTCAGGAAAAAAGGAGCCAAGAAACAAATGAGAAAAATCACATATGACACTGGTTATGCAGGGAAGTCAAATCAGACCACAATGTTGCAAATGAATCTCATGATATTGAACTACTGCTTGAGAAAATGCCTTGGAGGGAGTAATAAAAACATCAGCACTCCTGAGTGCTAGTAGAGGCTAGAGAAAGACCACCTCAACCATGCCGGAGTTCCAGACTCCCTATGGCCACTCAGGAAAGATCTAGAGCCCTCATGACTATGTTCAGAAAGAATCAGAGGAACACTCATCAACAGTTGACAAAACAAAGACATCTAAAGAAGAACAATATAAAAAACAATGTTTTCACATCTTGAATGCTGCATTTGTTCTGGTTCTCTTGTCAAGAAGGGTACAAGGGTGACTGCCAGCAAAGATGGTTTCATGCAAGGGAAAAACCCAAAACTAATGGAGTATTTATCTTCAGAAGCTCAGAAAAAAAACAGGCAAGTATCCATACCCTTTGTCCTCTCAATGAATGCTACAGACCTAGTGGATTAATTATTTCTTGAAACACAAGCAGGGAGTCCTGGATCTGAAAACAAGAAGTGCCTTTCCCAAGATTTGCATAATTTGTGGAAAGTGCTGTCACTTAGTGTTGTGGAATTAAACTGTAAATTAACAAAAGAAAAATAGAAAATCTGTAGAGATTAGTTCTGGTGTTGTTCAATACGACCACCCAGACAGAGTCTTCAGCTCACAGAAGCCCTTTGCTTCCAATGGCCAAAAGCCTGGACTCCATACAAAAGGATGGTATACTTCAGGCTCATGTGTAAGTTGTTGGTCACCACCATAATATGACAGGAAACCATCTGAGCTGTTGTTTTCAATTTTTATGGCTGTTTTTATGCTTTCTTCTACAGAAAGAAAACAGAATAAAGAAAATTCTCCTTTTACCATGTGCATCCATGATGGAAACCAATCTCATGCCTTTCTGAAAGCACAGCATTCAGACCACAGAAACTGAGACCAAGCTAGCAGTGGAATTTGTTTAGGTCACTCAATTTCAACAATACAAAGGCCAAAATCTTTTGGGTAATTATTTTAGCTCATGCAGAACGGTTTCTTCCCAAGTGGAAGAAGAGAGCTGAATATGAAGACCTGATCCAATAATTCTGATCCAATCTTAATATGCCTGGAGAAAATATGATGGTTAGGGCATTTGAACTTTAAAAGGAAATCCAGGTTAAAGAAGGGCATGATGAGTTTCTCTACTCTTAGAAGCATAAAAATAATTCTCACCAAACTTCCAGTTATAAGAAATACAGTTTGAGAAGGTTGTGGTTCAAACCTGATGATTACAGACCTTTCCTGAAGACAACAAAAATGAACTGTGTTTTTATGGAAGATTTCTGATGAGAAACGTGGCTGCCTCAACTGAACAAAGCCTTCCATTTGTATTAAAACATTTGCCCAACTTCATCTTGGCTCTATGTATATTTTCTTCTGACAATGCAGTCACACACAGAACTAGATTTTGCAGGTTCACTTTGGTTCCCTTGGTTACTTACTCAGGAACAAAGTCTCCACAGAATACAGTGAAATTTGGAAATTATATAAAAATTTTAATTTCTGATAGCA